GATCTTTGTAACCGTGTACCCACTTGGGGACCATTAAACCCATGGGTTAGTATGGAATAACTTTCTATTATGCAAATATCTTAATTTAATTTATTTGAAATAAAATAAAATAAATTTTTAACATTTCAAAAAGCAAAGAAATAAAAATAAGAGATTATTAAATTTTCAGGCGCTAGAACTGTTAACTGAGAAAGTAATTAGCACTGCTGGAGGACCTCTTAGTCCAGGTGAAGCTTTAAGAAGACTTTTGGAATGTGTTGCTGGAGGAATATTGCTTCCAGGCAGTCCAGGTATAATTAATTTGCAACGAAATTAATATAAGCAATAAAAATATTTGATTTTTTTAAATATTTTGAAATAAAATGATGATTCAGATGACGAGACTGAGTATATTGTGAAATCCATCCAGATTCTAAAAATCGAGTATTTCGATTTTTGTATCTTAATGGTATTCTTCACAATATTACATAGATGATTGGCAATCTGACTATATTTATATAAAATTTTACAAATGATTTGTAAGAAAAATAAATGATTACAAATAATATATTTCTATAGGATTATCTGATCCATGTGAAAAAGAACCAGTTGATGCGATAGGCAATATGACAGCTCAACAAAGAGAAGATATAACTGCTTCGGCACAACATGCTCTGCGGTTGGTTGCATTTCGTCAAATTCATAAAGTTTTGGGTATGGAACAACTTCCACCACCTAAATATAAGGGCCGATATGGTAGGAAACGAAGACGTGACAATAGTAACGGAGAAGGAACAGATAGCGAGGCTTCGAAAAAAGATAAAAAAGCAGAGGAGATCAAAATGGAGACAGACTCCAAGTAGATCTACCAAAATATTTGCTTTATCGATTTACTCGTAACTTATATAGTATAAGAAATAAAATTTTCTCGTGTCAATTGCTTGTTCAATGAGGTGTTTCTATACTGGAAAGATATCAAAGATTAAAACAAGACTAACGATCTATTAATATAGTGTTATGATTATTTAGAATGTAGTCTCCCTTTGGACAACCAATGGCGCATCGTTTTAATTTGCAATCATGATTTTAATGACGAAAGAAATTATTAGGTCAGATTATATCATTGTACCTTGACTTCGTTTTTGAACGTATAACATCGTCGAATTATCGCGTTACTACTAGTACTAAGTTTTCTGTTTTAATGATAAAAAACTGATGTACTGCTTCGATTGTTATAAACAATTTAATTTTTTAGTAAGTTCTGAACACTTTAAAGTAAGGAATACATTATTTCAGATTTCATTTGTTAAATTCATTTTACGTATAAACACTAGATTTTAGTGTTATTACAAAATATGGATAATGTTATTCTTAAGATATATAAGAAAACCTTTGCAACTATTTTACTAAAGGTTTTTGAGAAAAGACTTATAATCTTTCCTAAACAGGCAATTGGTACGATTAGTTCCAGCACTAGGATTTTGTCAAAGAAAATGATGAATGCGTTATTAGTTCTGAATTACTTATTTAGCTATATTTGAAAGTCACAATGTATGATGAAGAAGTTTAATAGAGAGGGTGGCAAGAAACTGAACATTTATAAGTTTTGAAGTTAAGAGTAGGTTAGTTTGTATTGAGAATTCGTGTGTATGTTGTGTGTGTAGTCGTAAAGAAGTGCAGAATGTTTCCCTGCACAAAACAACTAACACCGTATGTTCTCACCGCGTGTACTGATTCACGCAGAAGATTCCAAGAAAGCAGAGTTGAAAATCAATTATTAAAATAGATGCTTTGCTGTCCAATGAGGGTTAAGTGCACGTGTCAAGAATTCCTAATATTTTACTATAGTTTGTTTAAAAATTTCACAGGAAATCGAATATAATTTCAAAATGTTCATACGTAATAAATTTTGTTTCTGACACAGTGTATGAATCTTCTGTTGTACACATGCAAATCCTCTTTGAATAAATCGAACATGCATGAGATAAATATAAAGTTTTCTTCACTTCCATATTCCTTTGCATATTACAGTACATATTGTATAAGAGCTTTTATCAATAAGATAAGTTAATAAGAATTATTCTCTTTAATAAGAAGGCCACACACACAATAGCACTTCGATTTTACTATTATAATTATTAATTAGTTAATTTTCTACAAGAAGAAACACTTAACATACAAAGAAAGTTAATTTATTTTTGGATGGCACCGAGTAGAACTGAGACTGATATTGTATTAATTTTTTAATAAAATTAGCAGAAGATAGAATTAAAAAAAATTTAATTTTACGTTTAATTTAAGGATATAATTTGTGTATAAGTTATGAATATAATTTTATATGTATAATTGATTTTGTTTGGTACAACTAGTCTTCAAATAAGAATGTGGACAATGATCGATTCTTATAATTTCAATTTTTTCTATTTCTCATAAATGTATACAATTTTTTAATCAAACTGAACTGACGTATGCTTTGAATCAATATAAGATTAAGCATTAAGTAATTTTCATTTCCTATTCTACAGTATTAAAGTATATATTTGTATATATTTAAATTACATAATATGTGTATTATTAGTTTATTATTTTTTCAACCAAATATTATAATATAACGTAATAAACCTGCTCTACATGCAGGTATTTTGCAAAAAAAAAATTTACAAATTTTTCATTCAAACAATTTTTTATTAAATGATTAAAACCTGCAAAAACGTGTGTAGAGTCTTAATATTTCAAACGAAATAATGCAAACTAATTTCTTGAAAATTTGATAATTTTTCGAAATTAATATGGAGATTACGTTATATTCTGTTCATACATAAAGATCATATCTAATGTTCACTGTGCCATTCTAATTATATTTTATTTTTAAGAATAATATGCGATTTATTAATTTCATGTGAAAAACAATTGCATGTTTTATTATAAACATGTTTCGATAATAAAGGTAAATATTTATATTGTTTTTAGAATTTAGCTTAAAATCTGCGAGTTTTTGTTTTTGTCCTTTTTTTATATTAATTATTTTATATTAATTAACTGGTTGTAATTATTGCTAAATTATATAAATAGTAACATATATAGTTAACTAAAATTTATTATTTCGATGTTATTAATGAAATATTAAATTAAAAATGTAAATAGTTATCATAAGTAAATACTTGTTTTCGAAATTATCATGTATTTCATGTAAAACAATCATGCTATAAACAAAATTTTAATCTAGTCTGATAGTCATGATTGATCTTTTTTTTTTTTTTTTTTTTTTTTTTTTTTTTTTTTTTTTTTTTTTTTTTTTTTTTTTTTTTTTTTTTTTTATGAAATTTCAATGAAAGTGAATAATTATGCAAGATAAAATATTGTTTTTCACTGTGTCACTAAAAATATTTGGTAAGTAATATGAATGAAATGATCGTGCAAATAATTACAAAAATATTAAATTTTTTTAATGATACATTTTAATTATATCAAATAAATATAATATAATATAAAAATAATTTATATTTTTTTGGAATTTTTATGATTTATATATTATATCTATTTTAGCACTTAATTTAAATATATATTATTTATATATTATAACATATTAACTTGCATCATGTTTTCATTTTTTATTAATTTTTATCAATTTTATTTTAAGATTGCATCATTCTATGTTTTAATATATAGATATAATTATTTTATGTATATAATTTTTAATATT